CGTGATCTACTGAGGCCTCGGCCCATGAGACTATGATCGCGCACCGCCCCATTATATCAACAGGCTTCCTTCCCTTGAGGTCGACCAAGTGTGCATTTTCAGATCGTTTCCCCGTCGCTCATAGACTGTTTTGACCTGGAAGGCTCCAGATCCGTACCGGCGGATCCCTCCCTCGCCCCAACAGTATTGATCACGCCAGTCAAAGACCAGAGGCACCCGTGGACTGGCGATCGTCGAGCCTCACCGCCGGGGCATAAAGTCGGACCGCAATCTTCGAAGACGACCGGCAAGATCGATGGTTCTGCTCTAAGCATCCGCAACGGCAACGAGGAAAGGCTCCAGTGTCAGGTCGTTCTCGTGACGACACAGTTTCTGGGGGCGTTCCAACAGCAGGCAGCGGCGTAGTATCGCCCATGGCATCCCGTCGACCTGATTGTAGGTTGCGGCGAGGGGCGTCTGGCATTCAAGGTAGCCCTCTACCGACATCTCGACATGCGCCTAGCGACCCGCTCGAGCCAACACCGTCATCTCGACCTGTGCACCTCTCATTCATACTAAATCCATCACCTCCAGAGCCAGATTCTGTGAACCGAAGACGGAAGCCCTCGCATTCTGGCTCGCGTCGGTCAGCAGGCCACCAGCTACCACCAATTGTCACTCGGCCGGCAAGTAGTCAGTCTTCACCGACCTTCTTCGCACCATCACCCCCACCACAAGATGTGGCAAGCGTACAGCAGCCACAGAGACCCACACTCCCCCCGCGACTCCCAGTTTTGCATCACGCGGCCAGCATGGTAGAAAACCACCAGCCAGTTCCCTCCTTATATTCGTCGCCATTGACACATGCGACCGAGCCCGGGAGGTCAGGTGCACCTCCACTGCCTACAAAATCCGCGGCGGCAAGGGCAGAGTATGGATTTGCAAGACCGGAACACTCTGCTCGATCCTCTCACAGTGGAAACATTGATTACAGGAACTTTTCAGCGAGTTCTAGCCCAGGCACGGCGTACTCCTCTTACAGTCAAGCAAGTCAGGCATCTCCGGTGACTCAGTATCCGACGGGCCCGTCGACCACAGCCACGTCGATGTTTTCGTATAGCAACGACCCACCCCGCACTGCGGCCTGGCAAGCGAGTATGATGGCCGATCCAATGGTTGTTGAGCTCCAAAGACCTCTCGACATCCCGACATCCTCTTCTGGAGGGCAAAACTTCTACCAAATGATGTCGTTAGAGACAACATTAGGTACTATGCAGCTTCCTGTGGACGTTAAAAATGCTTCACGCGTCAAAGATGAGAAGAGGCGAAGGAATGCAGGAGCCAGTGCTCGTTTTCGACAGCGCAGGAAGGAGAGGGAGAAGGAATCAACGAGCGCAATCTCAGAGTTGGAGCGTTCGGTCAAGGAGCTCAGCGGGGATGTTGACTTCTACAGGTCCGAATGCCAGTTCCTGGCCGACGTTCTCTGTCATACACCTGGAAACGACCGTCATTTCCCAAGACCCTCCTCGCCACGTTACCGAAGATCTTTGAATGTCCGTCTACGTGAATCAACTGGTATAGGGACAGCCTTCTTTCCAATGGCACAAGAGTAGATGGTTCAGAGTCCCGGTCGAGGCTGCAACGTTCAAAGCGTATCGTCTCCGTCCTTCATCAGTCCAAAAAGGGCGCAGTCTTGAGGTGGCAAGGACAATTCAGGGCAGCGCGCGATTGTCTCGACGGTGCCTTCAAGCGGATGGATCCCGAGATATTGCCAGGTCGCTCGCGATGAAAGTCGCGCGCGAGCTCGCAGACGTGCTGACCGAGTTGGGTTCTCCGTGAGATGCTCGTGGAGTTATCGGAGCAGAGCGGGAACGGCCTCTCCGAGCAGACAAAGTTTCGGCGACGCTGCGGTCGTATCTTCCCGAGACCTACTTGTGGGAGGGTCTCTAGGGTACACTCGCGAGTCAGGAGTTGCTGGACCAAGCGGAAGCGTACGTTCAGGGTATTGGGCCTTCGGCGAAATTGTCGCCTCTTGACGCGAACTCTCCTCGAAGCGCGAGCCATGTCGACTTCACATCCGCTGCGATTCTGCGATCGATGAGCAAGGCTTTACGCAACCCTCAGGCATGTAACCCGGCTGTCAAGGACCGAACGAGGGCGGAAATCGCTGACATCGAAAGCACGTCTGCAGATGCGGACCGCAAGCACTGGATTGACGTGCTCGGCTCATACTGGCTTGACAGCTTGGGGGAAAGACAAGGCGGGCAACATAGAAAGTCCTGACGCGGTCGACGGCGGAGAGGCGAGGGCGGCGGGGAGTGCTCCTTTGCCCTGACGGCGGCGTGGGATGTTTGCAGGAGAGGGGAGAGAGAGGGTGGTGGGTCAGCGGCGGTGGGCTTCGGAGGGACGAGGGCAGTGTGGGAGAAGGTGTTGTTGGTCGAGAGCGGAAGATGTTGGGGTAGCGCTTCAGTAGTATGCCAGAAACCATCACCCAACCACAAGTTCAGACCCTCAGTATGCTTGGCAATCTTTGAGGAAAGAGCGACGGGCAACAACCCACCGCACGGCTACGACGACCCGCAGGCAACGACGACCCGCGCCTTCTTCGCTGACAAGCAATCGCGGCCCGTACGACTATCTGCGATGACACTCGCGGTCGTGGGACATACGACTAAGATGCTCGCCACGGCCTTGGCTCGCCTTGTTGAGTGCATGCACCATCCGCCTTGAACCAGCAGACGCCAACAAGCAATATGCACTTCCTTAAAATGATGGGATCTAGCAACGCCAGCGACTCCGCCAACGCCTATATCAATAAGAGCGCAAGGTCAACTGGGAAGAGACTGTGAAGACACGGGAATCAAGCATCCAAAGAACCACTCGGTCTTCCCCGCCATGAAGCAGGAAGTCTGCATGAGCTCGCTCGATATGCACTAGCTCGCAAAACGAGATACCACGGTGAGTTTCCTGCACACGAACTCGGGGATGGTGGGGACCAATGTGCACGACAGGTAGCTTGCTGCGCCTTGGGATGGATGGGAAGCGGCGGCATTGCGATTTGTGGCCAACTGGACGACTTTGCCTCGTAGGCATTCATTATGCTTGAGCTCGGCTCCGGCTCCGGCTCGTGGCTCGTGCTGACGTTCGCACCAAGAACCTTCCCGCAGTGCGTCATTCTACCACAACGAGGTGTATACGTACATGTGTAATCTACTCTGGCGTATATATCGCTTGTATTATTCACGCGTGAAATCTTGACTTGCGTCCCCTGCAGAACCGATCGTGTGCGTTCGGCGACGATGGCATCACGGGGCGCCCCCTTTCAGCGCATCCGAGATTGGGAATCGCGAATACTACGTCTTCATCCAGGGGATCCTGAGTCCAAGTCATCGGGAGAGCTACTCAAAGGAACCTTCACCGTTCGTGAAGGGATGGTAGTCGCAAACGAGCGTATAGAATATACCGCACTATTCCACGCCGGAAGCGACGCGGATCTCTGCTACAATATCCTTATAGGCGAACACGAACGACAACACGAGCGTGAGTACAGACGTCAAGAACTTTAGCGACTTATGATTAGTGCAACGTTTCGGAAGCTTCGGCCGCTGATAAAGACTAATGAACGTACACAGACACTGCATCTATGAAACTTGGGAGATCAACGTTCAGATCATGAAAATGCAAACGTACGCAGTCGATTAGGATCAGCACAATTAATTAGTGTCCAGCTTCTTCACCGACATGCTTTCACTCTAATATGTTCGGATCCACATCTTGCTGACTTGCCCATGTTCGGTGCTGCCTCAAAGCTATCTCTGGCCACGGAACAGTGTAAGTTGACTCCGCGGCTGCTGCTTGTCTCAATAGCCCCGACGTCGCATCTGGAAGACCGTGAGCAATCCACAAGGAACCCGGTTCGCTCTCCCTCGAAGTCAAGCATGCCTCTTGCGGAGCCTGCGCCGTCAGACACACCCTATAGTGGTCAGTCAATATAGCCGCGGAGACGTGGCATGATCGTACAATAAGCTTAAGAGGTCGAACCCTTGCTCTTCCCACCAGCGTTGGAACAACCAGCGAATAACACAGTTATCGAAACCTCCATGATGATTGCCATATTCATAGTGCCGTACGGTAGCAGAACCGCTGGCGGTTTCATAGAGGTAGGAGACCACTAGTTGAAACCAACTTTCCGCATTTTCACTGTTGATGATGCTGCATGTTGTGCTCCTGCGATTTTCTCTGAGCGTCTTCAAGAGCCGCTTCATTGTCTCGTTCATCTCGATCTATGTGTCGATATTAGAAAAAGAATTTGCCGTAGTCAGATTCAACACTTACTTGCATCAGCTGGAAAAGGCGGAGAGCTTCATCAGGACTACAGGTATTCGGTCCAAGACCCATTTTCCAGATTGTTTGCATGAATCCGTCGGACGATTCTATACAATGCCTGGACATTCCGACGAAAGTTCTTGTATGAGAAGATGGACGATCCAAGAGATAGGGAGCAAGGCGTCGTTCCGCTGGCTGTGCACACCCATCACATGTTTATACTCATAGCTCGAGCATACAGTCACCGATCTCAAAACGGCACAAGCAGTTACGGTGCGCGCCTTCGAGGATGCCATCACGACCCCGGCCCCACCTCAGCCCGGCCTGGGTAGCCAATCACGCGCGACTTAGACAGAGCTAACATCGGAATTCACGTCTTCCTGCCTTTCTGTTCATGAACCTCCGTCTCGACATGACACCAACAGCCTGTGCTTAGGCCACGGACCAACAGGGAGCTTGGCAGAGCGATCAGTCGTTTGATTGTCATTGGCCTTGGATAATTTCAGACATGCTTCCGTTCTCACAAGCTAGAGGACCCTGACCCACTTCTTGATAAGATTGCACAGAGTCAGCGGCAAGGACCGGGACTGGCCCCGGCACGAGCTCGCTGGATCCCTGCAGGGAAAATTTTCCCTCGACCACCGAATCCGGCTTCGTATCCTCCAACTCGCTGTGATCCACAATCCACAGGCACCATGACCCAGAGGGTTGATGATTTCGAGGGCGATGACAAGCGATATATCGCGTACCTGGAAGGAGAGATCAGACGATTGAGACAGAGCCCAAATACGGAAGACAATCAACTAAGACCACAACCTTCCTCCAAGGAATCGCCACCTACAAGTCCGGCATGGAGACGTCACGCGGATGCACTAATAAAAAGGACACCACCCGCTCTGGCGTGGTGGTCCGCTCTACGGAGCGAAGGCATCTACGATGTCATGTATGATGGAGTGGCAGTTGCCTTCCTTCTCGGCGAGAGAAGCACTCCCGCAACGGCCAACCACGCCAGCACGATCTGCGATGAAAGTATGACCGGTGACGAGCTTGCGCTTCTCCGACACGTTGCACATTACGCTGCTACCGCGACTCAAAGGCGACTTACGGCATCGGTCGCAACTCGGCTCGTCAATTTTCAGCTCGTTCTTGTACTCTCCGCCTGCGCGGTCATACGAGCTGTCGCCCAGCCAACAGTCTCCGAACACCATATACTCGGCATCGTTAAGATTTGCCTAGGAGACATCTCCGACCAGTATTGCCGCCGCATGATGGACACCGCCGTATATGTTAACAAACTGATCGACTTACTCAACGCGCATGGATGGGACGGTCGGGGGGCCGAACTTTTGCTCTGGTGTCCGTCTTGCTTGAACCGTCGGTACGAAGAATAATTGCTGAGAAAGGCACAGGGAACCGGGCCCCGTCGTTCTACTACAGCTTGTCTCGTTCGTCGAAAGAGAGCCTCGAGTACCTCTCGAATGAGTTGACGAAGCCAGAGTTCACACAGAATGTGGGCGTTCCTTCAGAATGGACGCCCTTCTTTCTACCTGGACTGGTTTCACAGATCACACAGAAGGAGTACCAGTAAGTCGTAACAGCGAAAGGACTCGAGTTCTGTTCTAACGGGATCAGCGTGGCCAGAATCAGTCATGCGCTGGGATACAAACATGCACATCTGCTCACGAGGTCTTTGTCATTGGTGAATCCGTGGCGCGTATTTAGCGGCTCATGAGAAGGCGCCAACCTGTTCCCGGTGCTGTCTTAGAGATTCAGACATAGGCAGACACCAAGGCCTCCCCCTCCAGGGGGAAACTTCAAGCCTGCATTGCTGTCCACACATACGTCCTGACCTGGCTCGAGGTCGATGAAGAATCCGTTCTGCGGGCTCAGACGCGTCAAGGCAATAAAGACGACCGTCTGCGGACGCGGTTCCCCCTCGTCCTTATCATAAGCACCGTGATCGTCCAGATATTCCCACTGCACCCCATCAAATGCTTTGAGCCGGAAAACGCAGAAGGCTCGCACGAGGGCTTGCCCCACAAGAGTACAGTGGCGGTCCACATGACGTGCTGCCCGACTGACATTGCCTTCGTTCTAGCGGTGTGTTAGTTTATTGCATGGTGCTTCTTAAGGCATGGGAGTTTATGACGTTGACCCACGAATCGACGACGGCTGACACCTTCTCGAGGCCACCTGCCATCGACAGCATCTCGTATACAAAGCGAATCTCCGCGTATTGCTCAAAGCGCTCGTGAGCGGGGGCACACTCCGCAAAAGTCCGAAGCTCCTGGACAATCGACCTGTCGACGCCATTACTAACGGCACTTCCGTAGAGACGGCATTGCTCGCTCACTGGACTGACCATGGTGTCTGATAGGAGTGTCATCGTTTGGAGAGAGGTAAAACAAGTGCGAGGATAGAAAGATTTGCGCTATCCGGAGGTGCGGGGCTGTAATAAGCGAAGGCTTTTCTTGTGCAGAGCCCTGCGTCTCAACATTGTCTTCGCACATCCAGCCCACCATGATCGATCGCAAAGTATCTCGCTACTATAATGCCATTGCGCATATCGATCAGCAGCATACAAGCACCTCGCCAGACCTGCTTCGACGCCTTGCCGAGGTCTTCGTCCGTCACAGCGTCCACGACAATTTCGGCGTCTTCTTGCTGCACCGTCACGGCTCAGTCGCTCCTGACTCTGTCATGGTCCACACAAGAGACGATCCAGACACCGACGTATGCGTCGAAGAAAAGCTAGGAATGCGCGCGATAAGCCCTTGCTCGTTCCTGTCAAATACCCGAGACGAATTTCTTCCCTTCGAGTACGAGACCCCTCCCCGAGCAGCAGTGGCTTGCCTTCCGAGCGCGGCCTTCCTCGTCGAGCTTGGAAACTTTTTATGGGATCAACAGCTACAGAACGTTTTCGGATTGTGTACGGTGTCGCCACTTGAAAGTCCGTGGATTGAGAAGGTCGTGGGAGAAAAAGGGGACACAGTTGCTACGCGAAGTCTTCAGAGCATCAGCACGCGCGACGGTACGATTACGCAATGGGCTTTCTTGTTCGACGAAGGCGAACATATTCGCGTAAAGGCGACCAGGGCGTGCACGACGACAGAGTCGGGAGGTCACAAGAGGACTTAGACATCTTCGAGTCTCGTGCGGCCGGCAAGACCTCCCTTATGCGGCCCCGTTGCATGCATTCAGAAATCACGCCTGAGGGCAAAGGCAGTCAGCTCAAGACGTCACGGCCGCTGACCTTTGAGTTCTTTACGCATTAGAGAGGGACTAATAGCGGCGTCGTCCGGCACATAAGCAGGACTGCATTCGTACTGGGAGTAATTTTGGTATACCGCAGAGTTAGATGACACTACTTGACCCTCTCTGGAGGAAAATTTCCCTCGCCCTCACCGGCTTTTACCAGCTCGAGCTATTGTCCGCACAGCGTCATCAACGACCCTCGGGCGTTCTAAAACGGACTGCTGGACGTCAGGCTCTTCGCGTACAAGAAGAACTTACGCGCACTCGACGTCTCCAGAATTGCGAGGCGATGATAAAGTCTCCCAGTAGCTGGATGTCTGTCGGAGGCCGTATTCTACCAACGACTGGTAACACCGCCCCACAGCGTATGAATCTCCTTGTCGTCTTCGATGGCCATCCTGTGGCGCGCGATGTCACCGAGGCACTCAATCCAAGCGGATGCGGCTTGAGTGCATGGACACTCACCGAGTTGTTGGGCGTAAAGAGCGTATGTGGGCGGCTGTATCGTCCTGGCTTTGAGAAAACCCCAACCCAATAACGACGTCCGAGGGAGGAGGCTCGCCGGAAGGTCGTATAGCTAGTTGAAGCTCGAGATGAACTCCAGTGCCTTCGCATCGTCGACGAATAAGTCCTTCAGACGTTCCGCCGCCGCATCCATCGGCAATGTCTCTGAGTATTGAATGACTGGTGAATGTATTTCTCGGTCTGGCGCAACGCTCGCAATATTGCTACTCGTTGACTGGCTCATGGCGTCATCCACGCCATCCGCACGCGGTTGCGGTGACGGAACCGCCCGCGAGCGACATTCCGACGGGCGGCAACGGTCCGTGTCGCAGTGTCAATTCGAACTTCATCTTCGATAATCCTGTGATGTGATAGAACCATTTTGTGAGCTGCACCTTCACCACAATATAGCGCACTGGGCGAGAGCGAGGCTCGAGGTGCAGCGACGCGGCGATCGTTGTTTTGCCGTGCTACCCAGTCTCGCCAGCTGACAAGGCCGCACAAGACGACGTGAGAAAAGACACAAGCAAGATGCCAGAACAGTCATTACACTTCAGCGTTCGGCTAATACGGTCAAGCGCTCACAAAGCCATCGAGTAGAGACGGTCGCGAAACCTGCTCGAGCAAAGCAAGATCCCGCCCACGCAAAAGAAACCCCCAGCAATAACAGTTGCTCTGACCATTGCACCAAAATCCACCGCGTTGTTTTACGGCAAATCAATCCTCTGATTCTCTCCCCCCGGCGGGTCATCTGCTATTGCGCCTCTTGTCAGTATCCTCCTAGGAGGCAGGTCGATGAGGTCGACCTGCACACCTGCATCGACTCCCGTCTTCTTGGTCGAAAAGACAGCCTCCTCTTGCCTCGCGGTCTTTGGATTAGCGGTGATGGCGCCGTCGATGACATCGCCTTGCTCTGCAGAAAACACGCGTCAACTCTCCTATCTTATCGTGTTTACATGGGCCCGCGGCGAAGTGCTTGGACCATAGTCGAGTCATGGGAGGTGCGCTCCTCTTGCCTCAGCGCTTGGGCGGCCTGCGCCTGTTGCTGCTGCTGCATGTATGCTGACGCACTGGGTTCAATGGAGACCTGCGCAGGCTGCCTGTACGCCTGCGGCGAACACTGCGCACGAAGATCCTCGTATAAGTATGAGGGGGTGTAAGAAGGTTGCGTAGGTTGTTCAATGCGGAAAAAAGCATGAGAAAAAGCGGGCGACGCACCGATGGATCTCAGACCGATTGTTTCTGTGTAAGTGAACGGCTGCCCTTCACGAGTCTTGCCCATTTGCGTTTGCGCGCCTGAGGGTGGTGGCGGTAGGGTTGGCGTGTGCGGCTCATCAGTCGAACGTTTCTGTCCGGCTTGCTGCTGAGGAGGGGGTTGCTGTTGGTAGATCGGCGGCTGTTGGTAACCTTGCGGTGACGGCGGGTATTGGGCTCGGGGTGGTGCCTGACCTTGCTGGGGTGGGTACAATTGGTTGCGGTCGCCGTGATGTGGGAGAGGCTGGCCGTAGGCGCCGTAGAGTTGAGTGTTCGGTGGTGGGCCGCCTTGACTGCGCCAGACCGCGTGAGCGGGGACGAAAGCCTGAATTTCGGCGTGCACTGGGGTGAAGACGCATTCTTGAGAGAATCTCACGCAGGTGGTGCAGCGGCCATCCTCGGACTGGTCGAAGCCGGAGCACCGAATCTGCGAACGCGTGTCAGACTGCAGAAGCTGACGGTCACGCGCGCAGACTCACTTTGCGACGACGGCAGTAGCGACATGCGATGGCCGTACGCTGCCTAGGCGGAGGCTGAGGCGGCGGATACGCCATGTGAGGGTGAGGCTGGTACGGCGGCGCGTACATCTGCTGTGGTGGCGGCAGAGCGCGATACTGGTCAGGATGTTGCGGTTGCATCGTCTGCATGGCGGACTGTTGCAGGATGGCCTGTGAGATGGGCGGGGTCTGGTTCTCCTCCGCGTCAGCGGCGTCCTCCGAGAGTAACGGATCGACGTCTACCAGCTTGTGGATGATGGAGAAGGGATGCGGAGGAAAAAAAGTTCAGGTTGCCGGGTGAAAACGAAGATAGCGATCGAATAACAGGTGACGGGGTCTTGGCAAAACGTGCAGCTGCAGAACGCGAATCAGGCAGGCGATACTTACCTGCTGTGGCCACGGCGTATATCGGCCGCCTGGCGGTGGTTGCGGTGACCAATTCTGCGATTGCGATGACGGAGGGTTTGTGGCGTTCCATTGCCCTCCACCCCTGCCGCCAGGCGATGGGCTCTGGTAATACATGGTGTAAGGTAGCGGTTGATGTCGTGCTTGTTGGATCGATCGTTGGATAGTGGATGCAACGAATCGACACGTCTCCGTTCAGCAACGATGTATTGGTGCACCATCAGTCGGGTAATCTTTGTATCAAACCTGCAGATGCAAGCAGTCTTATGCGACGTCGTGCAAGAAAGGTGCGGGCCGGGCGGCGATGCCGTTGGACATGCGCGGTGGAGCTGCCGTGCGGGTGAATGCAGGCGCGCTGTCACACGTCGACGGCTGTTAGTGAAGTGATGCAGGTGGCGATGTGCGCAGACCTGCTCGCACTGCTGGTGATAAAGGGCGGCAGAACAGGTGGGAGAAGGTGTTGAAGGTTGAGAAGGAGACCCAGCAGCCAGGGAACGATCCGGCGGCCGGTCAGCGGCGCCTCAAGTGGCCGCGAGAGAAAGTGTGTTGAAAAAGCGGGCTTACTGTCTTCGGTTGGCTCCTTTCGAATGAGCCGATGCGAAAGTGAACCACGAGCCAGTTGCGCTCTGACGCAAAAAGATGCAATCGCGTGCGTCCTGTCGCCTCCTTCTTCCACCCGTCCCTTCTCGCCCCAAGGCCCGCGCAGATACGGCTGCGCACTGGCCTTGCTCGCCTCCCGCTGGTGCAACACGGTGCCCTTGCGTGTCGCACCTTCTTCTAACCCATGACGAATTGCTGCGCGTCTGCAGGGTTGACGCGCCGGTCCACCCGCTTCTGCTCGAGCACTTCTGACGGCGGCCTGCCAAGTCGCTTGCTTGCACGGCATCGGCAGACGACAGTCAGCCGCGTGAGAAAGTCTCTCGAAAAGCAACCCACCTCGATAAGCGGCAAAAGTGGCCACCGACACGGCCATCTGTGCTGATTCGTCATCCCACTGCACACCGACGGCGAAGAAGCAACGACGGCGCAAGGCTGCGCCAGCGAGGCTCGTACGACGATGCATGCAAGGTTCATTCGCGCCCAGCAGCCAATAGCACGCACCGAACTATGCTCTGGAACTGCCTTGTCCGCTTTCGTGGCGAGATGTGCTCGCGAACCGGCCCGTGTTCTTGCTCGCATGGCAGCCCTGCAACGTCCTTGCAGTGCAGACGGACAAGACGAACTGCTGCTGTCCAGTGTCTAGAAAGAACTCCGTCCCGTCCACCTAAGCTGTGCCGCAACGCCGAACTGCTTCAAAGAAGACTTCGAACTCATCTAGAAAACTTGGCTCTCGTTGTCACAGTGTATATCATTCATCTCGGATGGAACTCACTTGCGTTTTCATTCGTCGATCAATATTACGACTGACGGCAGGCAGCAGACCAGGTTGCAGAGCGGAGGTCCCCTTCCGGAACGTTGGAGAATGATGCACGGGAGCCGCCCGTGGCACTGGGATACTGGAAGCGTTGAAGCGTTGGAACAACCCAAAGCTTATAAAATACCTGGCATGCCGGCGCTCTCAGACAGCGCAAATTCAATGTCTCCCCTTACGTAGTGTGTTTCCACCACTACCCACTCGTATCTGCGGATCCTCTCGCAGTTTGGCATTCAACACTCATTGTTCTTCAGCGTCGGGCTGTATCGATGGCACCACCCAGGGCTCCTCTTGCGAAAAGTGAGTCGAAAGTACGCTTCTTCGAGAGGCTCAGTCTCGACGAACGATATGAACAGCATCGGCTGGTATACGCGACTATGAAGGTTCGGCTTCCGTTGTCAAAGGATCGTTGACCGGCCGTTCGATGGCTTACAACCACGCAGCGAGAAGCAGTGCGAGGTCGCGAAAGATTAGCTGCAAAAACAGAGTCGCTAGCACCTCAATTTCAGGATGATCCGACAGTTGAGCCACCATACAGCAGTTCTCAAATCAGTGAGACTGCCATCCATCGGCAGATCCTGTCAATCTATGCCGAAGCGCGCCCCGAAACAAAGGTCATCTACGACCTTGGGCGCGACACTGCCGGCACTGAGGAGGATAACTGGGTCATCAGATGGATGCTTTGGCATGTATTTCGCTATCGCGACAAACGCAACAAGAACCGACAGCCGGCATGGGTTGGCGATGAGCTTGACTTTGATGGGAACATGGCTCCCGATGATAGCTCTGGTGCTTCAAGGAGTGGTGAAGGTTGGTCTGAGAATGGTCAAAACGTTGTTGCAGTGGCTGATCGAACTTCTTAGCAGCGGTCCAGCCACGGTACTACGATCCAGTCCGAGATTGTGTCTCGTTCGTCTACTCTACCTAATATCGCTAGCATCCAAGCTGCTTTCCATCGCGGAGGATGCAAATGGATCCACGTTGTCGCTTGGTCTTGTCCTTCCCCGGTCGACCGATGCATGGACTCGATCGATCGCCAAAGGATATGCCTGCATTGACGATCGACAACCCACTAGCACGCGCTGGTACACTGAACGAACTCTGGTGGCCGCCGGCGGCCTTGAAGACCTGAGCTGCGCACACTTAATGAACGTTACCATCTTCATGAGCGCGCTGAACGTCTCCCAAGGACTCTCAAAGCCTCGCTTAGAAGAGCAGCACGCGGCGCTGGACGAGTCCTTGTTTGGATCCGTCATCGGTCCGTTGTCTGATCTCTTCGTGCGACATCGTGCACACCTGGACTATGGCATTTCACTTCCACACCGGCATCAAACCCTTCCACCCAAACATGTGATGGTCCATCGTCAGGATCACACCGGCCGTGACATATGTCGTCCTGAAAGTCTGCCGACGTCCCACGCTGGAATCTGCCCTCGCTCATACTACCTACACGAAGGTCGATTCATGCCCTTCGGATACTCTTCGACGCACATTCCAGAGCCGCCCCCAGCATTCCTTCTAGAGCTCGGAGAATTCCTCCGTGCAAACAGCCTGGACAACATCCTCGCTGTTCGTTCCGTCACCGCAGAGGATTCGCTGTGGCTCGAAACAATGTCGCCAGACCTGAGCGGTACGATCTCGGTACGGCGCTCTGGAGAGCAGGCTCTTCCGGCAGGAATACACTGTGACTGAATGGGCGTTCCGACAAGACATGACTGGGACCAGAGCTGTACCAGCAAGAGGGTGTGAGACACTGAGCAATGGCGGGCATAAACGAACTTGAAGGGCTGTTGTCAGTGTTGTCCGATTCGGGTAGCCGTCGGCGTCAACTTGGACCCAACTGAGAGCACTTTCGAATGGAAAGCAGCGCGATATGGCATGTATTTCGCTCGACGAATATGTTTCGTTCATTTAGCAGCAGTATGACAACAACGGGCATCCCTCGGATATCGAGCTCCTACCATCTCCACACTCATTCCCAACGTTTCCTCTCTGTGGGAGCGACCAGAACACGGGAAATGTCCTAAGCACCACCAGCCCATCTCCATTGCATCCTCATAATACGCCGCGCCATAGTCCATGGAAGCTCCGAGTCCGACCAGAGAGCTGCATGACTGCTATGCTTGTGAGGGGGTCAAGTGCACCGTCATCCCCGCAAGTCCTGCTGGGTACCTTCCGCCCTTGCTACGGCAGCGCTCCCTTCATGAAATACAGCATCATGTATCCTACCGACTCGTGATCGTCTCTTGGAGACGTCCTTGGTGTCCTGCGAAGCTTGCGAACCTCGCTGTACCAACCAGGCCAGGTTCATGTGGTGCAATGGCCATCGCGCTGGTAGATGTCGTGGTGTATTCCGTGACGAACCCAGACTCAGTGACGTATATCACGTTGCGTTTCGCGCGCAGTCCCTTCGAGAAGTTCCGTGGCTGGATGTCGCCCTGAACTCCGCCATTTAGTTGGAGGTGTTCCATTTGGAGAAGGAGCTGGTCCGTAATGATGAGGCTCGGTATGAGTGGAACTCAGTCTCCACTAAACTCGAACAAGGCCTCAAGGCCGGGTCCAAGCAGCTCGAACGCCACGACTTTGAAGTCACCATGCCAGCCGAACCAGTATACCGTCGGTCAACTACCTTTGGCCTGCTGCTGGCAAACAAGATTTATAACAGCTTTCGCACCTCGTCTATTTCACCCTTTATGTGCTCCATAGTGGCCTGCAGCTCGCCCTGATCTCTGGTCAGTCCGTTCTTTTCCTGGTCCAGCTGTTCCTGCTGAGCTCCGATCGCCTCCTGCTTCGCTCTGATCTCCTCCTGCTGAGCTTCAACCTCCTTCTGCTTAGCTTCAATATCCTTCTGTATCCGCAGACAGTTCGCTTTCCTCGCTTGTACCTTGCTCCGCCGCTGAATGGTCTTCTCCAACAACCCGCACAGGTGCTGTAAGCTGTCGTCCTCAGCCGGTCGATCGGCCAAACATTCTCCTCCAGTGGCAGGGGCGTGGGCGTGGGCGGGAGAGGTTGGTGCCGAGGTGTTTGCGACTGTGGGAGAGGTGGGTGCGTTGACACTGTCCATCAAGGCATCGGCTTCATTGATCTGCACAATACCTGCATCTGGCTGTCCAGAGTTCCTCCGAGGCTGCTTTCCTTCCTAGGCACGCATCAAGACGCCGTTAGATCTATCGGTAGTCATGGGTTTCATCGATGACTACTCACGCCATTCGATCGCTGTTCTCTCGAGAACTCGCTGTTGCCATGCTTTCCATTGGTTCCTCCGTTGTCATCGTCTGTTCGCTCGTCCACCTTCCCGCGTGCGGACTCGCTGTCTACTGTGACATGTGGGGAACGGTATGAGCTGCCGGCCTGCAGTGCATCATTGGGCAGGGCTGATGTTGTGTGGCGAGGGGGTGTCTGCTGACTTTTTCGTCGTTTTCGTGGATTTTCAGCAATAAGAGATGGCGGTCGCTTTGCCTTTGCGACACCAGATCCCTCGCGGACTTTCCCACTGGGTCTCACCGGTCGCGACGATACACGTATTCCCGACTCGGCATCAGGAGGAGGCGTAGTGGGTGGATGCATTGCAGGAGAGCAGTGCTTGCACTTCTGCCTGCGGTAATGCGTGTGGACTCGTTCCCTCTTTCAAGCCTAAAGGGGTATGAAAGCCCGGAAGAAGCCGAGGCGCGCCCACAGCGGCTTGGCCACCTTGCTTGGCCAGAATGCTTGGCCTTTATGCGTGGGGAAGATTCTCCTGCTGCATCAACGGTGGTCCACTTCTGCCGTGACCTGTCTTGTGGACATGCCACGACATACCACGTCAATTTCTGTCAGCCGGGTAGCAGCCACAACTACTTCACAGTTGCTGAAATCAGAAGGTGCAAAAAATTCTGTTCCATTCACCTTATTGTCCCGTAAGTCGCCTCGAATTGGCACGACCGGTTGCTATCAAACTGTCACACAACTCATACACACACCCCCGTACCAAGAAGTCCCCGTGCTGCAGTCCTGAGCGTCCCACCTCCTGAAGCAAACCTGATCGCTGAATGCTGTCGTGTTCAGATGTGCGGTATCAGAATCTTGCATTATGCGGCGTGCGACCACACTTGGGCCGCAGAGATCCTCAAGTGCCGACAAGCACTTGAAAGGCCAGGCCAAACCCCGTGCGTACCGGCCTCAGGCAATCAGCGAGAATTACCTCGTACACTCGATACCCAAGACCAGAACCTCCCGGGTCGCTGTCCACCTTGCCTAGGAAGAACACCACCTAGTTCTGCTGGCTCTCAATAGCGGACTTGGTAGATCAGGAGCGATATCGCCCCAAACGAGCTGCGTCGATGTAAAAGCACGGACAAGAATAGCAGGCATCAAAGGGAGGTGCACTTTCACCTGTACAGTGGGGTGATGGGTAGACTTTGCCTATCAAGTATCAGGGGCTTCTAAGTAGACGTGGAATTCATGTCGGGGCCACCGATGATATGTGCCAACAGTACATCAACGTCGCCATCGATAAACTTCCGAATGCGCCGCCAACCTCCCAGTGAAATTTTCGTTCAAGCGCTCAAGCTTCCTGTAGCGATCTGATGAGCATTATTGATGGGATGTCTTGAGTTTGCACACTTACAAATCGTCTCCATCCTCTCTTCTCTGGATACGATATGCCTCATGTGGTAGCTCACCAGTCGTTGCGACAGTTTCTTTCGATCCGTGGTGTACATCAACAATGACGTGACAATGTTCGCTTTCTCGCGGTTGCCAGTGAACGAAACAGCTCTCGTCTCCAAATCCTTTGAGCTTATAAAAAGCGCTGATAATCTCTTGGTCGCTCGGTGCATTGCATGTGCGGAATCGAAGAATGATGCGTCGTGGTTTGTCACCCGCTCCTGCTATACGCGCTTCCATTATGTTCGTGCTGACAGTGAAAGAAGTAGTTTACATGTCCCACTCCTATCTCAACTTCCCTGACCGCACTTTCGGACCCTGGAAGCTTATCTGAGCCAAGCTCTCATACGCGGTCCGAGCCGACCCGTACGCGGCGGGCTAGAACAGACCGTCTCGCCAAGGGAGCGAGAGAGAGAGGTCATCATAAATGAAACATCACGTCTCCATTGCAACTCTAATCCTAACCATTACTTGAACAGACATCGCACTGCTAATATAACCTTCCTTTCCGTATTGCGACTGCTCTCCGTAAGCTTTGCTCCAAGGCCAAATGCATTTTGCAACAACCTCATCATTTACTATTACCACATCCGCGCAACTGGAGCTCTCTCTGTTTCTTGCTCAAACAGATCCTCTGCAGTGGAAGCCCCCGACACGTTCATGTTATCAGAAGGCGTTGCCAACCCTAGCATCTCATCGACCTGTGTCGTCTTGAAAGCGAATTGTGAAGGACCTGCCTCTGGCTCAGCGTTTTTTCGCTTCCAACCACGCTTGAGGGCCTTCCCATTTGCTTTGGCAGCATCTTTCTCCGCGCGCTTCGCTCGTGCTGCTACCAGAGGATACGCCACTTTCCCGGCATCACCTGCTCTGCGCCCGCCTCTCCGCTTGCTCTGCCCCCGTCTGTCCTTGTCACCTTCCTGAGCGCTCCGCTACGGCTTGGGTAGGCATGCCCACGAACCCTGGCGTGAGCGTGCATGCTGCTCGAAGTTCCTGCTTGAAGTCCTTTGACGCTGGCTATGGATTTTCACATTAGCTGAGAGTTCGTTCCTGAGCGTTGTGGTCGTGCGGCGCGAATTCGCATCAGCATCGGCCGTTCGGGAGTCGCGGATGGTGTGCGGTCGCTTGGGAGGCGTACGGCTTGCGGCAGATGGACTTAATTACGCGCCGGGGCTATCTGTGGTGTAATCAGTGGTATCACTCGGGAGGTATGTTATGATCTCGTCTGTCAAGACCTCTCCCGAAGCCGGCACACGTACGAAGTCGGTACGAAAGACGTTCTTCCCACCGCCAACTAGGCCTCCCGGGACTTCTGCAAGATCTCTGACGCATACGAAGTCGGTATTGGGGACGCAAGGGAGGCACATTGTGCGTATGTTCTCCTCACCAGCCTTTCGTATGGTACTCGTGTACGTCGTCCTTGAAGAAGTCGTTGCCATATCGAGTCGCCCACTCGCAATCTTGAGACAGGAAGCCAGGTCCTCGTGCTATTGCAGCCTTCTTCGCCCTCCTTACAAGGCCGGCTTCCCGGTGTCCATTGAGCCTAAGCGGACTGACGTGATATATGGGTTCTCCCAAAGGCGGATGTATCAACGCATGCATCTGGGAGCTGGAAGAAACGGCCGCTTGGCCTAGTTCAACGTTTCGACGTGGAGTGTCTCGTCGAGTGATAGGTCCACGCGGAACGACCCCGGGTGGTTTCGAGATGCTCGCATTTGCTTGATCTGTACCGGTTGTCGAGTAGATTGCCGCTTTCGGAGATGTCCTCGCCCCGGCCGATTTCTTCACTTGTTCGGTCAGTAGGGAGATGTTCGAGATCCGCACTGCTGTACACTCGACGCGTTCGAACGTCCCGCAAACCGCGCTCGATGGTGCCTCCCGGAAGTCTTCGAAGTCTTCCCACTCCGACGACTTGTCATCGTCCGTCATCTCGGAAACAGCACCCTCGTGTTCTTCCCTGGCTGGCTTTTCGAACCTTGAGTGGTAGTTGGTCGCCGAATGGTTCCGGCCCGTGCCACTAGTGGAAGCCGCGGACGCGATACTGGACGACTGCTTCGCGTCAAAGGTCGTAGTGCTGAATGCCAGTAGTCTACCAGCCCGTTGCATCTTCATTGCAGAGGATCAAACCCGAGATCAGTGCGATTCGACAACTGACAGAGTTTATTAGTTAGGGAAGGACACGAGTGGAAGACGTACACCTCCCTGTAGTTCTAATCTTGATCCTCTTTGGGGTCCCAGACCAACGTCACAGCTCAGACATGCCGCTGTCTCATGTTTCAGAGCTTCAAAGTGGCGCGATTTAAGGCACGGTTCCTGCTTGGCGCTTGCTTTCTGCTTCCAGTAAATGTGACCTTCACCTTTGATGGTTCCCGGGCCAGATGCTCTACGTGCTTCGTGCTGTCTGCAACCAGCTGTAAGCGCGCGATATCGGGGGGGGGGGGGGGGGGGGGCAACCCCAAAAAACGGGTACCCCCCGCATTCGAGCGCAAATCGCTTGCCGCCACTGTAAAATTACGTTCCCCCAAAAACCAGCTTGAAGGAATGCACCGAGAAAGCCCAAA